ATAAATAAATAAAATAAATTAATAATATAAAGTAAAAGAAAGAAATAATATAAAGTAAAAGAAAAAAATAATGCTATGCACGAAATAATAAACAAAAGCTAAATAGTCATATATGTTGATCTAAAGCCAAGAAGTTAACAATTGTATTCAAGAATAAAAATCATGACTTCTATACTTATATTATTAAATCTTAACCCTATTACTTAAACTGCTTGTTATAATATATGCATAACTCCAGTTATATCGACACTTTCTAATAATAATAAAAAAAAAACTGTCTGGTATATCCAGATATTAGACATTTTCATATCAAAATATAGAATTGAAAGTTCTGAAGTTACAAACAAATATCACATATCGCTATACCAAAAGTAATCATGCCAATTTTACTTGAGTACAAATGAATACGATTTAAAAAAAAAAAAAAAAAAAAAACCTGTTGGTTTTATATGTTGCATTAACAACCAAAACATCTTTTGCTACTGCAAACTCGGAAAATGCATTTCAATAAGCCCAGAAGATTGCTTGGATAAATGATCCATCTTGATCATGCTCATTGTTATATGCAGATTTAGTAGCAATACTTGCAATAATGTTTTTATCATTTTCTAAAGTTCTAAGCAGCATCTTAATTTCATTTAGCCCTTGCATTTTTTGCTAACGTTGATGACCAACAGCATTATAAATATCACGTTTATGTACATACTTCGAGCTCACGGATGCTAAGACAGTGTAAATGTCTTTTGTTCGAAGTCCCTTATTGTAAAGATCTTCAATCATGCTTAGCTCATTCTGATCTATTTTACGCATATTGATACTAAATTTTCTAGCATCAGGATAAATAACATGATTATACTCCAAGCATAATTTGGTTATAGCAAATTCTTTTAAGCACTTACGATAATTTAATCTGATAACAAACTGACAACCTGTTCACTTAGTAGCATATGCATTATTTTTTCTATTATAGCACCCTGTTTCTCGCAAATGAAAAATGCCTGTCTATAACTATTACCTTCCGAATTTCTGGTTGTCTTTCTCAAAATTGTAACAATATTGGTTTGTGCTACATAATTTTCTACAAAAGCACGAGCTTCCCCAAAAGTAGAAAAAGTATTTTCTTTTTTAGAAATAAGAATATTATTGACGTTAGTATTAGTACTCATTACAAAAATCATTATATATAACCTAGAATTGATAAAAAATAAGGCAAGTATAAAAAATAAGCTAAATAGCAATGAAAGTATATGAAACTAGATTGATGAAAATGGAAGCGAATATTGTAAGATTAATAATAAATATAAAATCAACTATGAATATAAGATCAACAATGAATACAAGATCAATGGTGATAAAAATGGAAGCAAATATTGGAAGTTAATGATAAATGAAAATTCGACTAAATATGAATATAAGATCAAGATCAACAATGAATACAAGGTCAATAGTGAATATAAAGTTAACAATAAATATAAGATCAAAGTAAGATCAAAGTAAGATCAAAGTAAAAGCATTAAATAATCAATTTTTAAGCACGTGATTTTTAGTGATATATATTACAAATCTGATATATACAAATAATTATCGAATTTGAATATTACTAACTGATGCTGAAATTTCATTAGACCAAAATTGATGTGTGTGAGTTACATGAAACTGATGTATGCAAATAATTTCTCTTTGAAATATTACTGTCTCTGTATATTTATCGAGAATACTATTAATCATTGTTGTAGTATAAGATGTAAAGCTATCATATCTTTTTTCAATAAACTGGTTAATGTGTTGTAAAAAAGCTTGCTGGTTCTCAGTTTCCTGTATATGATATAGAGTTTTTAGTGTGTTTTTATTATATTAATAGTTTGTACAATATTGTTAATACTAATGTCCTGTGGAGATAGATCTGCAATAGGAAGATTAGATATTTGCTGTATTGTATAGATTTTTTGATTAATTACTCAGAGTATTGTGTTGTAATTATGCAAGTAGTCATTAGGGTTTTTATATAGCATTACCAATATATAGAGTATACTACTGTATAAGTTTAGAGCTGTGTGTATTTTTGTTGCTTTAGGTGAAAAAGTATTGTGTTGTTTTTGTGAGCGTTATAAAAAAGGTATATGTGATTTTGCTGACTTAGTAATTGCTGTATTGATTTGGTGCCAGAGTTGATTAATTGAGAGTATATTTGCTATTTCTTCTGTGATTTGAGAAGTGGTATATTGGATAGTTTGTTGGAATTGTTCCCAAAGTTTAGATGTTATAGTATCATATTTATTGAATTTAAACTTATGTTTTTTGTGTCATTTGGATGAGTTAATATATAATTGCAAGTTTGTATATATAATACAGTGATCACTATATATTACTTAAATTGCAGGAGTCAGTATAGATCGCATAGCATATGTATAATTTGGTAAGATATCTATATTTTATTAATTTGGCTAGAGAGATTATTTTTGCTCTATATATATGAATTAGAGTAGTAAGTATAGACTAGAGGTATAAAATTATGTAACTCAAAGTATTTGTATAGTATCGATCTTTGTTGTTTGTATAGATCTTGGTTAAAGTTTTCTAGAATTATAGGTATGATCTGGAGCTAGTGAGCTTGTTAGATCTATGTGATAATCTGATCTTGA